TGTAAGAAAAATAAAGTTAATGTTGACTTTGAAAATAATGAAATGATTCTCACCTCTGGATTGGATAAAGCTATAGTCCCAGTACGATATGATGTTGGAAAAAGAATTAGAGCTGTAACTATTGAGGATGAACTTGATGAAATGATTGAACAAGGATTAGAATATGATGATGAAAAAGAAACAGATAGCTACCACTGGTCAAAATATTCCATTTTGGCCAAAATTTGGATTGTTAGTTTAGTGTCGAATTATGAACTAAATTTAGCCTGTTAGTTTATGCTGATTGTCACGTTTCGCCTGTTACTCAATCATGATGTTCAATATATAATCAGCGTAACGAATAACAGAATTTGGAGATTCGAATTTTAAGTGAATTTTTAAACGAACTTTAAATGAATATTAAATGAATATTAAGCGAATTTTTATTAAATAAAATGAAATGCATTTATATTTTGCTAAATTAATATAATATAACTTCAGAAATTTACTACAAATTATAAAATAAAAAATATGTTAATAATAATCTTCCTCATATTCCCCATATTGATCACTATCATATTTATCATCATTTTCATCATCTTGAATAACACCACAGATTTCGCTCATAGGTGATGTTTCGCTTTTTTCAACTGTTTCATTTAATAGTCAACTTTGAGAAGCTTCAAAATTAGTTTCGTAATCCATATCTTGTTCTTCATAGGTCCAATCTGGAGCATCGTAAGGTTTAGCTAACTTATAAAAGTAAATTTTATCATTATGTTGACGATCTCTTTTCAGTTTGGAGGTTTGCAATGTTAGCAAATGAGAATCAATTATGTTACATCAAAGATTTTTTAGCTAATAAAAGAATATTAGTTTTTACAATTGTGAGTATCAAATAAGAATTAAAATGTATCGATTAAACCTCTTCTGACCTCTAAGAAAGGTCGTAAGTGTTAATATTACGCTTTACATTTGCTTGATTTTCATCATCTGTTTCGCTAAGTTCTGATGAATGATAGCGATTATCTTGTAATATCTTTAACACTTCTTCTTGTTCATATTTCGCTACTTGATTATCTTTCTTTTCAAAAAGAGATTTGACATCTTTTATATATCGAAACTTTTTCTATATTTAATAAAACAAAGTTAGTAAATAGCAAATTATTTTAATAAAAAGTGTAACTTTATTTACTTTATTAAGTCAGCTGTTGCTATGTAAACGACGATTATCTTTATCAAGTTTCCCATTTTTTCTATAGTTATATCAGCTTCTTCTATGCCTATGCAAAGCCTGTAGTTAATTTCTTAATTGACTATAAGAAGGGTTATATCTTGGCCTCATTGCTTTCATCAATTCGGGTATTAGCTTTCATAAAATTTCATTATTCGAATCACTTGTAAACTTTTGTCATATTTCATTTCATTTTCAGCTGGCAAGGTTTTAAGTATTGTCTTCATTTCATACTAATAAAATAATATTAGTTATTAAAACCAGTATAACAAGTGAAAATAATATAAAATTTCGAACCCTTGCATCGTTTACATCTAATTTCTCTTCGTTATCGCTATTTCTGATTGGTTTTTCCTTTAGATTTCTTTTAGTTTTTTGACGTTTAACTCTTCAAGTGGTATTATAATCTGTCTCATCATCTGACTCAAAATCGACTTGTAAGTCGATTCTATCTTCTGACCCTTTATCAGTTGACTGCAAAGTCCTTGGCAATCGGAAGGATTTGCTTCGTTTAAGTTCTTCATGTAATTTATCCTATTCCTTTCCGAATTCCTGATTAATAAAAAATAAAGTTTCATTTTTCTAGCGCAATTTGTCTAACTCTCCAGAAAGTGCTTCATTTTGAATTTGTAATTTCTGGTTGTCTTCTTATAATTCAATGATTCGTGCATGTAACTAAGCAACTTTTTTAAATAATTAAAAATTGGTATATTGGTAACATTATAAACATAAAATTTAAATAAACCCTAACCCATACCATTAACATTTCTATCTTTTGGTAAACTCGAAGTACTTTTTTCTTTAACAGGAGGTAAATGCAATCTCATGGGTAGACATATATTTGGAATCGATCTTATTTTGCTAAGGTCTCTTTCTTTATTTTGCTTACTAGAAGTGGTTGACGTAGAGCTAGTTCCTTGATGAATTGTTTTTGCTAAATTTTTTTTAAAAAAAAAGTATTAGTATCAGTTCTATTTAGCATAAGCGAAAATTGGTCAAAAACGTCACCAGAATAAGTAACAGCAGATGATTCTGTAATAGGTGCAGTTAGTCAAAACTTGTTTCTTTAGTGATTCATCTTTATATTTTTAAATTATTAGCATGAATGTTAAGTCACAACGAATGTTTTAAAGAAGTTAAATGGAAAAATGTGCTTCTTTTATATGGTGTAATTTCAAAAACTTTGGTAAATTTTACTATATAGACTATATATAAATATACTTTTTTGTGAAAATACAATAAAAATAAACTTTTAGAATGAAATTTTAAACTAATCGCGTTCATATATTTTAATAATATTTTAATAAACTTTTGGAATGAATTTTAAACTTCAACGCATTCATACATTCTATAAAATCAATTTAAAAAATGACGAGAAAAAGATCAATATCGAGTGTAATTCATGAAGAGTAAACTACTTCTCGACTAATTGCCGAGCTAACTAGCAGAAGGAGGCTGAAAGTTTCTTGTCTTTGTAGCAAATGCAATAGAAATATGGTTGATTCACATACAAAAAGACTACATATATCAAATGAACAAAACAATCACTTAGCTTAGAAAGATATCAAATTACTTCAACCAAATGTCGAAAATGAACAGGATGAAGAGACTTCAACAATTTCAGCTGCTTTAGAACAATCTTTTAACCAAAATAGACAAAATAATAAAGAAACTCAAAAAACTACCAATGATTTTACCTATCTTAATGCTTTATTGCCTTGAAAGCATAGATATACAAATCGTTAAACATTGCCTGTCGAACTATTAACTACAGAACATAATGATACAGCAATAGAGAACTCTGAATTAGATACTGAAGATGATGATAATGCATCAAATGGAACTGAACAGGCTGATTGTGATTATGCCGAATATTTTGAAGATTACTCACCACCCAACTATGAACTGTTTAAAGATCCAATTGTTTCAAAATCAATAAATGATAGACGATTTTTATGATTTTGATATGGATCATGAATTTCTGAGTTAAATATCATATATCAGAAACAGCTGCTGAAATTTTGGTTAAATTCATGAAAATAGTATTAGAAGAAATCAGTGGTAATGACTTTGATGATTTTCCTGACTCATTTTATTTGGTGAGAAAGAAACTTGGTCTGAAAGATCAATTTCATAGTTTTGTGATATGTTCGAAGTGCCACAAACTGTATTAGAAGAAAGATGTGATAAACTTCTAGCAGGCTGAAATTCCAGCATTATGAAGTATCAACACGTTGAATATCCAAATTCAACAAGTCAAAAACGCGTTTATGTCAAACGTCATTATCTCAGCAAACAAAATTATTAGATTGTCGAATAACTAATTAACCTAAACTAATATATTCATTCGTTAGGATTCACCAACAGTTAGCTACTTTATATCGTCAACCAGGATTTGAAAGTTCCCTTAAACATTGGGCAAATCGGTCAAATTTTGATATTTAACTGATATATACAACAGCCAAGTATGAAAAAATTTCAAAAAAATAAGTAACGAAGAATCACCAAACTTTTTCCAAAATGAAATGGCCAATTCGTATCTTGGGCTAATGCTAAACCTTGATTGGTTCCAACTATATGACGGAACTATCTATAGCACTAGTGTTATCTATGCTGCAATTTGCAACTTGCCTCATGATTTGCAATTCAAACATGAAAATCTACTAATCCTTGGTCTTTTACCTAAGCCAAATGAGTTAGCTTACATAGAATTAATCACTATTTGGCACTAATTGTTAATGATCTTGAGTCACTTTAGGGTGGAGTGACTCTAGATCCAGCTGCAAGAAAAATCTGCGGACATGTTTCAGCACTTGTTTCATGTCACAGATGTGAAAAAATAGTGAACTATGAAAATCGACAGCATAATTATGCTGGAATGGATGATATGAATGAATGGTTCTTTATTCAGGATTCAATACAACACTGATAAAATGCAATAGATTGGCGACATTGCAAATCTAATGCAGAAAGAGAAAGATTTGTCAAGGAAAATGGTGTAAGGTGATCAGAGTTACTTTGATTACCATACTTTGATCCAATTCGGTTCATTATCATCGATCTAATGCATTGCCTATTCTTAGGCATTGTAAAGTGGATTGTAAAACGAATTTGAATTGAAGATGGTGTTTTAACACCAAATATATTGGAAAATGTTCAGAAAAAAATGAATGAATTTCAAGTGCTGGCCGATTTGGGTCAAATCCCAGACAAAATTAATTGTGGGGAAGGTTTTGCGAACTTGACGGCCAATTAGTAATGAAACATTTTTACAATATATGCCACTGTTTCACTTTGGAAATATCTACCAAATAAGGATCATAAAATTCTTACACATTTTGTAAGAGTTTGTATGATTTTAGTAAATCGAATTATAGAAGTCGATCTAATGAGAGAAGCTTACCAAAGGTTAATTGAAATAATAAAGATAATTGAAGAACATTATGGTCAAGGTAAGATAACTCCAAATCTTCATCTCTCACTTCATTTATGTGAATGCGCGTATGATTTTATCTATTATATGCGTTCTGATGCTTTAGTTTTGAATGCATGAATGGAGTTATAGGTAAGTTTAAAACTGTAAATTCTAACAGTTGATTTCTATATATTTATTGATTTGTTTTTAATTTAGGCTCTTTACCAAATAGTCATCGGTAAATCAAGCCTGAAATCATGCATCGATTAATGAATGATAACTGAATCGCTGAATTGACAAATTCCAGAATTAAGACAAAAGGCCTCAATTTGCTTAATAGTTGACCAACCGTTGGATTTTTATCAGCAACAGATAATTTCTCTTTGGACAAGATGCATCGATTTTGGTTGAACTCTCGTCTAATGCAGGAATCAATAATAACCAGAAAGAAACAATTTCCAGGCGAGATGCTAAACCCTTCTTTTGAAAATATATTGCTTTCGAACTCAATGCTTGATTTGTTGGTCGAATATTATATAGTGACCTATGAATCATTTGAATTCTGAAGACCATTTATAGAAGATCCAGAAAATGCTATAATAATCTGAGTCAAAATAATCCAATTCGGAAGATGTTGAATTGGTTCTGAAATATTTGGCTCTGCGGTTTCAGCTCGTCATGTGAAGAGCTCATTTGTTTTAGCCAGATTTGTAACTGATAATGATAGTGTTGATTGCTATCCTAGGCAAATTCAATATTTCTTTACACATACATTCGATTTGCCGTATGGTCCTGCCAAATATACTTTGGCCTACGTTCGATGGTATCATCATGTAGGCTCTCGGTGTCATTTCAAAATTGATGATAAAGAAAAACCTAGTAATGCTGAATTATGGAGTACCGATTTTTATCCAGAAAGTCGGGATTGCATCATTCTAGTTCATAACATACTTGAAAGATTTGTATCAGAAAAATATCAAATATCAGATAAGCGAAATGCGAAAGACTATTTGGCCGTGAATCTGATTAATAGAAAATTCCATATTCAGTAGAACTTTATATACATAAAAAATTAACTTATATAATTTTTTAACTTTATAATATCTATTTTATATTTACATGTA